TCGGGTAGGTAAAGAATATTTAGTTGATTTGTAAGAGAATAAGACATCTTTAATGGGGTTTTTGTAGAAATTATGATCTGCACTAAGTTTTCTGTACATCTAAAGACCTGTAACCTTTTCACAGAGTAGAATTGATGACTATTGAAAACTGCATGACATATTACTTGTCAAATAATGTAATTTAGGACCTGTACGTGATCTTCACTAAAAATGTTACAATTTAGTTTATGCAAACGAAGACTTCTTACAATTCCTCCATAAAATACATTGAATTAGAACGGGACAAACTAAAAAATACCCTCCACCATTAGGTAAAGAACACATTTCTTAATAATTTTTTTTGGATTATGGGCGCTATAGGAAAACGTAGACGTATGAAGGCAGTATTCTGCCATCAGAGGTGTTTCAAGCTCTTAACATTAAATTTAATTAAATCCCGTGGAAAATGTGTCTTAAATAATCAAAATACTAAATATTGGGAGGTGACGTTATATGGGGGGGTTATACTTCATTTTCAATAACAACCATCCTAGACTCAATACAAACTACTAAGCCAAACCCCAAATCTCTACGTCAATTATTGAGGATACATACAGACAGGCGGACATCATTAAATCTACTTAGAATGTTATTCTGGTCATGAATATATATACATTATGGGGTCTACGACGAATATTTAGAGGTATTTTAAACGGAATGACATATTTTCATGGTGAAGTGTGTAAAATGATATTTAATTCTCATTACAGAATAAAAGATATTTTACTGATATTCAATAGAGTAGAAGCTGCTCAGCTGATCTTCTATAGAACTGAAATCGGTAACTATTCTTTATGAAAAATTAAAATTACTGCTTTAAGGAAACCTTAAACTCCACTTAATGATTCTCTATTGCAAAATGGACCCTTTTATCGCCTTCTCTAAACTTCATTGGACCGTGGCCTCAATTACAAATGCATTTATTCTACTTTCGATGCGACCTTGAAAATTCAATTTAAGTCACTATTTGGCCTCAATAATTTCATTTTCAATTATGTTTTGCCATAATTGTTGTAAAATATTTGCAATAAAAAAGTATAGATTTTATGGACAAAACTCATTAAAGCGTATAATTAACTATTGATATCCAAAATAGATATATTAAATACAATTTTTTAATCAAAAGGGAGATAAAACTATGTTGAACAACATTTAACGTTTTGACCTTCGGTTAATTGAGTTTTAAATTAACTTTTGTGTGCTTTACAAAATTTTAAAATGCTTCTGCCTTAAATACAATTATCACAGTATGGGTTTTAGCGGTTTTAGTTATAATCTTTTTTATTTGTTGTAGAAAAAATGTCGTAAAGTTTGCATGCATATGAAAATATGATTAAGCTTATGTAAATTATGGTTGCGGTTATTGTGGTTTTCAAATTAATTTCTGGTCTAATTTTAGATGACATTTTCAGGATTTTGTACAAAAGGTTTTTTGTTTTGCATTGTGTGGATTTTATTTTGTTTTTGTTTTTTACTATTAAATGCATGTGGCTGTTATATGCATTAGTGTTAGTTTTGTTTAAAATTTCTACCAAATTTGATTAAGGTTTTTGCTTCAAAAAACAAAATTAAATACCCATTTAATATGTATACACCTACATACATATGTATTTGATCTTTCACTCATGGGATCACTCCAATAAATCCAAGACACTTTAGTTTTAATACAATATCTGTATATATATATGTATGTTTAGTTTCCTTGTTTTTGCATATACACATAAAAAAAAAAAACATTTTTCTTTTAAATAATTTATATGCTGAACACATTCAAGTAAATTTACAATATCTTTCCACAAAACTTTCCGTTTTTTTCACACACCAATACATACGCACAGAGGCGTTTACACTTATGCAAGAAAATACCTTAGCCAGACATGTACAGAAGACACGTAATGCTGCTAATGCAAATCTGTGCGATACAGTGGAGAATTTTTGAAAAGTTATTGAAAATTAGAAAACTTTATATTGATAAAAATTAGAATTATAATTATAAGAATTAGAAAAAAGACTTAAAACAAATAACAGAAACAGAGGACAGACAAAGACTTAAAAATATATCTAAATACAGTTAATAATACCTTTGACCGTGAGGATAGAAAAACTATAAAAATAACAAGTAAAAAAAGCAGCTAAGTTCGGCTGGGTCGCACTTGTAATACCTCCACCATTTGGAAGAAAATTTAAAATTAAAAAAAAAAAAAAACAAAACGAAAAGTACGACTTAAATGAAAACTGTTATGTGGAAGACGTGGACCTGCATTGTTTGTCATTGGCTGCAGTACACATTACGAACTTAAAATACGAAATTTCAAATAATTTCGGTGAATAATGTCGCTAAAATCCAGAAAATACCGAATATCAGGAGGTATATACGAAGAGGTGGACCTGCATACAATTTTTTTTTTCATAGGTCGTAGTACCCCTTACGAAATTTGATATAGTTCCATTGAATAATTTAGCTAAAATCATACCAATACCGAGAATCTTGAAGTACCGTTTAATGGGGGATATACGAAGACGTGGACCTGCACACGATTTTTAGTTTTGTAGGCTGATGTATCCGGTACGAATTTTAAATACGAAATTTATAACAATTCCGGTGAATAATGTCGCTAAAAGCATGAAAATACCGAATATCGGGAGGTACCGTTATATGGGGGCAATACGAAGACGTGGACCTGGTATTCGAGATTCGTAATGGATACTACAGCCTATGACAGAAAATTGTCTGTGCAGGTCCACGTCTTCGTATAGCCCCCACATAATGGTACCTCCCAAAATTCGGTATTTTAATAATTTTAGCGTCATTATTTACGGAATCGTTTCAAATTACGTATTTAGAGTTCGTAATGGAATCTACAGTCTGTGACAGAAAATTGTCATGCAGGTACAGGTCTTCGTATAGGCCCCATATATCAGTACCTCTCTATATTCGGTAGGTGCAATACCCACCGACATTTTTTGAGATGTCGTACTTGACGTTCGTAATAGATGCTATAACCTGTGACAGAAAATTGTTTTTGCTGGTCCAGGTCTTCGCACAGCTCCGATATAACGGTACCTCCCTATATACGAGATTTTGATGATTTTAGCTACATTATTCACCGTTTATTTCAAGTTTCGAATTTGAATATGGTAATGGCCTATGACAAACAATGCCAATGTAGGTAAACGTCGTATAGACACCAATATAACGGCTATATTCGGTATTTTTAAAATTTTAACAGAATTTTTTAAGGACTTTATTTTTTGAAAATTTCCAAATTTGTTCCAAATGGTGGAGGGTTCGGCCCGGCCGAACTTACTGCATTTTAACTTGTTGTATTTTTAATTTAATTGAATGAAAGCAAAACATGTCGGAAATAGCATCAAATTTTATAATAAGTTTAGATTTCTTCGAATTGGTCACCTTTGGCACGAATTATGACCTTCAAACGGCCAATGAAACCATCACACGTTGCCCGAATGTTGCTCTGCGATATTTTTGCTCTTGGGTGGCGCGTGCTGAGTGCTATGGTGCTGATTCCTGTTGGAATGTACAAGGTCTACGTCCAAAATGTTTACGTGCCCAAGGCTTTAATACCTCCTCCTGAATATTTTCGCGATAATATTCGGCATTTATTCTGAAGCCACGGTCGATTAATACGAGCGGAGAGCGACCATCGGCTGTTATGGCGGCCCACACCATCACCATAGCCAGCGCTTAAGTTCTGGTAACCAACCGAAGGTGCACATTTTCAGCTGACCTCTTTGGCAAGTAAACACGATCATTTGGATAAAACGAATGTTTTTCCATCGGAGAAAACCAAATTCGACGGTTCACCACCTTCGGCTAAGTGAAACAACTCTTTAGCTCGTTTGAGTCTATTTTCTTTCGGTTGCGGTGTAAGTTCTTACACTTTTTTGAAATTTCAATGGCTTTATCCCGAACTAATTTTTTTAATATTTGTCGAATGGAATATTGCGATATGTTCAGCTCACGAGCCATTTTTCGGCCACTGCGACGCGGGTTTCGATTATGTCGCTTCTTTACTTTTCAAACTATTTCTGCTGCTGTTGCTGTTTTCTTCCGTCCACTTCCTTGACGTCGGGCTACGCTACCCGTATTACGGTAACAAGCGATGGTACGAGACACAAAAGATTTATTCACATTTAAATGCTGGAGTGCTCTAACGATAGCCACTTGTGGTTTTCCAGCCAAATATAAAGAAATCACACTATCACGCTTGAATTTCATCAGGAATAACTTTTTTTCTGGAAAATGTTCACCAAAATGTTTTTGTACGCTTGTAAACAATATAATGAGATGTTACTAGAATAAGTTTAACAGCTGTCGGACGAATGGCTTAGAAATAACAGCAGTCTTAAGTTGTTTGCAGTTTTTTCATCTCACCCTCTTTATAGACTATTTTAGGCAAAAAAAAACTCTTATACATTGCTTTGTAGGTTATAAAATCTCTGCAAGGGAAATGCTGCGCCCTAAGAATCCAAGTTTTAAATTAAAGCGGTTATTTTTGGAATTTGTCGTTGGAACCTAGGATATTGTTATTCATTCAATATATTTTGTGTGGTTTTGGTCTTCATAATAACGGTCCCAATGATGTCCTTACATATTTGAATTAAAAGGTCTAAATTACTTTGCCCTTATGACAGTAATGAGAGAAAAATGACAGGAACATTTTCAAAATTTCAGGTCATCCAATAAAATAAACTTGATTTAAAACATTCTCCACTGTATTTGCATACTCGTACAAAACACACGCTGTTGCTGTTCTCTATGCTGCGTTTATTTCACATCCTTTTTTTGTTTTTGTTTTTGGGTTTTATTTTCTTTATTTTTTTTTTGCTACTTTTGCTTCTCTTCCTTCTTATACTTTTATTGCAAAAACAACTTTCTTAGAGAATAAAATAAAAACAAAACAACATAAAAATTTACATCTCCTTACAACTTCATTCAGGTGGAAACTAGTCGAGAGAAGATAATCTCATTAGAATTGCAAGACCCCGAAAAGGACGACGATACATCCAGTGCATCACTACAGCAGTTCGTGCCCGAGCTGGAGATTGAGGACCAGATGTTGTTGCACCACACGACCGCAGCGCCAAGCAAAGACTTTGACGACGCCGTCACTGGATTGGACAAGATGATGGCCAAAGATGCCATTAAAGACGGAATTCTTCCAATACCTCACGTTCGTAAAACTGTTGTAGAAACATTAGAAAAGTTTCAAATAACTAAAAACTATGATGGTGCGGAGGAGGAGGAGGCGGAGATGGAGGAGGAAAGAGAACCATCAGCACCGGAGGTTGAGCGTAATGCTGTTGTTGAGGTAATAAAAATTCCAAAGGAACCGGAAGAGTTAGTGGTTGTGCTGCCAGCATCTACAGATGAGGATGAGGGCGACGAAACGGACACTGCCTCAATTGTAACCGTCCAGGCAAATACAGAGAAACTCTTTTTACGCACCGATGACGACGATGAATTACCATCAATTGAATTGGATAGCATTAGTAGTACGGGCCTTTTTGGTCCATCGTCATTGGAGAGCGTGGGTTCTGCATCGACCAGTGGCAAAGTTACAATAAAGCCCAATACCATTACCATGCATCAAACTTTGGCCAAGGAAATTGTTGTGCCAGCTACAACTACAACGACGATTACCACGACGAAGAAAGTGGGACCCCAGGAGGAGGGTGAAATCATAACCACCACCACGACCACCACTACTCAGAATATAGTGCAAGTGGTGAACCCCTTGATATCTGGCGAGGGACAGGTGCAGAGTATTGCCATTAGCCGTCCCCGGCATTGTGAATATCCTTCTTTTGATAACGATGACATTGAGGATGACTACGAGGAAGAAGAGGTCGATCATGGAGCCACTCAGGTTATGCGCAGTGGTACATTTGTTTTGCCCTCTTCCTCGTCATCTTCCTCGGCGAGTAAGCCACGCGAAGAACTCTCCCTAAATGCCAAAATGAAAAATGTTTTGGAAGAACTACTCGAAAATGAGCGAGTGAAATATAATCTGCAAAGAAGTCTGGAAGAGGACAAAGATACCAATGAGGCCTATACCGATGATGAAGAGTTAGAAGATCAAGATGAATACAACTATCGTCGCCAACTCACCCATACCGTACAGACTTCGGTTGGGCAAGACAATAATGGTAATGATAATATAATCAATGAATTGATACGGGACAGCAATCGAAATAATATGAAAAGGTTAAGGGAGCATATGCTTCGGGATGAAGATGTGGACGAGGATGAGTTGGATGCCACTGAAATGCAATTGGCACAAGAACCAGATGATGACGATGATGAGCAGGAGGGCGATCAAGCAGAGGAGGAAGATGAGGACGAAGAAGATGATGATGATGAGGACGAGGAAGAAGATGAAGATGAAGAATCCGATGATTCAGAAGACTCCGAGAGCAGTGATAGCAGTGACGATGATGATGATGACGACGATGATACCATACACATTACATTTGTTGATGGTGCCAAAGTTATTGAGAATCGTAACATCAACACACCGGGTCAATTACAGAAATCCCAGACCTATAACACCATGAAAGAGGCCGCTGAGGCCATGGATGCAGTTCATGGCGAAACTGAAACTAGTTTGGAAGTACTAGAGGCCCCTACTCCTACAACAACCACATCAGCCAAGGAGGAAGTCAAACCTAAAGAAAGTGATTCTGTGATAACTTTGGAAAAATTGCTGGAAGAGCAAAAGAAATATGCCGAAATAACCAAACAATTGCGTAAATCTGTAGAAAATCTGTTAATCGATGATGATGACGATAGTGAAAAGGATCACAAGAAAGCTGAGAGTTCCAGAGATGAGCACAAACAAATTACAACAACCCAGACAATAATCACTACCCCCCATGATAGTTCCTCCGATGCAACACAACCTGACTCACAAGAACAGCAGCATCATAGAATAATTATTGCCTCCAATGTAACCACACCATCCCGCACAACCACCACCACAACCCGAACCATTTCCGACGAATCCGGCGAAGAAATCTTCCAACGTTTATTAAATGCCGGCGGGTCACACAAACAAATATTTGACCAACTCAATGATGAAGCATTAAGCCGCACCACCACTACCTGTACGGATGATAATGGGACCATTATAACGACCACCACAACCATATCAAACATTGTGACGAGTGGCATACCGCGAACTACGAAAACCATTGAAAAAGTTGTTAAAACTCAAACGGCCAGCCAGGATAAACACAAAGAAGGTGACAAGGAATTCAGTGATAGTGATAAACATCATCATCATCATTCTCATGATTCTCATCAGGCACGTTCTCAGGGTGATGCTGATACCAATGCAGATGATGATAATAACGATGGCCGTCGCGTTGAGGCTAAGCAGACATAAGTCATTTGAATTCATTGTCGCCTGGAGGCTCTTCAGCTGTGGGTGTACAGATAAAAAAGTCGCGTAGTTAAATATTTTTTGCTCCTTATTTTAATCCAGACACACACACTGGAGGTTTGTTTGGCATGACATTTACAACATCCCGGCGTTGTTGTCGGTGTTGTTGTCCTTGCTGTTGGTTATTTTGGTTTTTCTCGTGTGTAACGGAAGCATGGAGATTTTTTTCTTTGAAACTCCATTGAATTTTGTTGGACTAATGACACCAGTCACCAGGCACAAGGACAAGCTTTAAATCGCCATTTGATGTTGCGGAATTCCGATTTTCCAAAACAAATTTTTTGGATGGCAAAAAGGAATAGCGGAAACGGAAACGTGTGATTATGTTGTTTTTGAATTGTGGTGTGAAATATTTCGGTTCTTGCTCAACAAAGGTTGGTGGGTTTTTTTATGTCTAAGGGTCGGAGAACGTAAATGCAAATTAAAGGAAGATAAACGGATATGCTCCAATTTGCTTCCCGGAACAAGGGAGAAGAAGGACGTTATGGATTTTAGAGTTTAAAAAAAGTTGTTTATTCGAAATTATAGTAGGGACTTTTTGAATTGGAAATTAAAATTTAAAATGCTGAATTTATTTTGAAAAGTTTGTGCAATTTATTCTAGCTTTGTCTTGAAGACTTGAGTGTCGTTGTAAGTCTGTATAGAAAAAATTGAAACATTAAAATTTTCGAGAGCGAAAAAATCCTAAATAGACAGAGGTATTTTGAAGAGCATACATATTTGAAGATTTTTCATAAGACCAACTTAAGACCACATTGTTAAGTGTGCGTCCCGAGAATTGTGAGGTCAAATGTCAAGGTTAATTATTTTATAATATTGAGTTATAACTAGGATTTTTTGAATTTTCAGTTCAGAATAGCATATGTGGGTTTTGAGGAATTCTAGGTTACATTTAATTTTTTCGAATAAAACCTTTTTTATTGGAACACGAAAATAAAAAACGTTTATAATTTTGAATGATTCCAAAAGAACAGTCGCAGAGAGATTCATAATTCCCAAGTGGTTCATTATTGTCGATGGAATTCAAGGTCAGCTTGGATGTTTGGTATTGAGTCGTTTCCTAAGAATTAGGATCCAATATTTCCAAACGCTAGGCATTGACAGAGAAAATGCTCGAACGTTTCACAATATTCCTCGTACGCCTTGTATATGCTGTTATCTGTGCAACCTATATTGTAGAAGTGACCTTTTAGGCCCAGGTGACCCTTAAGGATGTGTCTTACCCCCCTAATCTCTTTCTTATCTAGTAAAGGTTTTTTCTTTTTTCCCTCATCGGGATCTCCTCTCATAAGATTTTTCTGGTTTTCAATACGTCTTTATTATTCAATAGGGATATGTGGGCATTTTCGTCCATGCCTTTAACTCCAGATGGAATCGTAGATTGTCCATTAGTTTTTTGGTTAATGAAGAAATTCTTTACATTTACACTTCCCTGATCTCTGACATTTTCTAGAGTCCATTGGAAACGTAGATAGTCTTTTCGTTCTTTGTTAATGAAGAAATCCTTATAATTGGAGATTCAGTTTTCACATTTTTTCTAAAAAATGTAAGATTTTCCTCTTTTGGCTGCCAATTTCTCCCACAGTTGTGGTAATTAGGACCAGAGCTACGATTTTATTCGTGAGTGCCGCCGAAACTCCTCTTTGAAAAAGGTGGTAAGATTTTAAAATAGAAATAGAGTAAAAAAGTTAATTTCTTTTCTAAGTTGTGTTTAGTAGTACACAGGTTTTGATATTGCTGTTATTTGTGTGGGAGATCATGTATTAAAGCAAAAAAAGAGAAAATAGAATCCAGGGACCGGTGAATTTTGTGTACAAAAGCAACAATCGTAATTGCATATACTTATATATAAAAAAACTACTACAGGGCAAACATTTAAAGAGCATACACTGCTCGATTTCAAGTGACTTTTAATACCATTCGAAAACAAGCAAAGTGTTCTTCCTCTATTTCTTTTTTCCTCGTATGAGTACTCTTCTTCGAATTCTAGTAGGGAGTGGCTCCAAATAGGTTTGCCTTACAATGTTTTGCTCTATTTTGTCTTTTGTACGACTCTCACTAGTTAGCAAAATAAAGAAAATCAAATCAACAAATCAATGCCTATGTCTTATTCATTAAATTATTTCAAAAGCAAGTAAGCATAGGCAATAGTCGTGCGGGACCGACCATGTGATACCCTACAACACTACAATATGGTAGAAGTCCCCTTATGTCCAAATTCATTTTGGAAGATATCGCTTAAAGCACTGCCCACATATTACCCTTAGCTTTTTGACAAGGACATGTGCCCAATATTTACGTACTCCGTCGTGCTGTTAGATGTTGTGGTAAAATCCAATTGTCATCGCAAATGTCAGATTTCTTTCCTGTCCTTAACTCTCTTCTCAGGCGTATCGATTGGCTTCAATTGTGTGATCAGGAAATTGTTTCTGTTTTTGGTTAATTTGAACCCCCAAATTTTTTGCGATCATCTTCGAAAGCAATAAGACCCTCTGTATCTCCAAATTTAGACTCATCTACAGGGTTGCCCATATTCGACGGACTCATAGTTTTTTTGGGCCCATTCCCATCGACGAGGCTTGTCCGCAGGCAACATTCTTTGCGTCAATTGAATTTTGTACGGGAACAAATGCAAATCAATGCGAATAATCCGTTGTAAAGTGGACCGAGCCATGCCCAACTGCTGAGAACGGCGTTTTTGGGATGTTCTTGGGGACCTCTCAAAACAGGCTCGTACGGCAGCGATATTCTCGGCCGATCGCCTTGGTCGACTTTTATATGGCCTCTTCGGATTAGAAAGAGCCTTACCAGTCGAAAATTTTTCGTATAAACGCTTAATGGTGTTCTTAGATGTCGCACTTCTCACATTTTTTAATGTTTTAAAAGCACGTTGAGTTTTCACAATTGACTTCTTCTGTTGAATGTAAATTTCAACTATTTCAGAGCGCGTGCCGCTTCAAATGCGGTATGTCATTAAGCGATGTGACATCTCTGTCAAAAGTTATGGCGTTGCCAGATGGGTCCGTCGAATATGGGCAACCCTGTATACGATTTGTTTGTCTACGATATTTGGCTATACTCGTCAACGGAATTAGCATAAATAGCCAGAAGTTCACCTTTTGTGTATTTCGGATATGGTCTGTAAGTTATGTTGGTATTTTTTCACACAAAAGTAGTGGTCCATTGTACCCGCTGTCCTAAACTCTAATTTAATGCGAGATTTCGTGTCCTTTGGTTTCTATTTATGACCTTAATAACGGCTGCAAAATCAGGAACATTTTAAGTTGTTGGTCCATTTCAACCCCTAAATATATTGCGGACATCTTTGAAAACAATAGGCCTAGCCCTTCTGAGCCTAACCCTGCCCTCGTAAAAATTTTCGTGAGGATCGGACGATAATTGCAACCTGTATACAATAACCCCAACCTGTGTTGTAAGGTGAAAAATAGACTTCAATATTATAAGTCAAATTGAAAAAATCGCATGCGATAAAAAATATGAAAAAAATAAAAAATATTACAAAATAATAAAAAAAAAAATCTATATTAATATCATTATTGGTATATTTCTTATCCAATTTTTGTAGATTTTATTCTTTTATGTCAAGAGGACATTCTGAACTGAATTGATTGAAGTCAAAATCGGTCTAGCCATTCTTCAGATATAAGCATTCTAGCTAACATCCCCTTCCTTTGCATGCATACATTGTATATATTTCGCTATGTATATCCGTTATATTCACTATCGGCATCTACATAACGGTCAAAATTGACCTGTTCGTCTATTCGTGATTTCGCCGGGATTAAAAATAGTCGCAGTTCAATGGAAAATTTGACATTTATTTAACACAAATTTTATGGTCAATTTCACCCACTAAATATTACCCGATGACCATCAAAATTGGAAGACTTCTGCCCAGCCCTAAGCTCTAGGCCTATGCTAAATTCCGATCTATACAGCAGGCTAATTGCGATCTATATAGCAACTGCAAAATCAGGAAATTTTGTCAGTTTTGGTCCATTTCAACCCCTAAATATTTCGCTATCATCTCCAAAAGCAGCCCCACCTTCATTCTAAATTTCTTGAAGGTCGGATAATTGCGACCTATAGTGATTACAAATTAACATGGTCAGACGGACGGACGGACATACATAGCTAGATCGTCTCAGCCCGGCGAGATAGATATTTCGAGGTGTTACATTATTTTTATCCCAATCAAACTTATAATACTCCCAAAACATAGTGTTGTATTTCATAATAAGCAAGTATAAAATAATTATTACAGACTATATCTTATTATTGTCCTCAATAAAAAGTCAAACAAAAAATCACGTCGCTTAAGCGAAGTTTTCTAAGTTACTTTTTTATGTCGATGTCTGTACAACTCAATGAATAAAAGAGTTCTACCCCAACCCATCGCTGACCAAGAAAGTGTTCTAGCGCACGTGACCAATCAACAAATCTATAGGCCTTTTTTGCATTTGGAGAAATAGTATATTATGTACAGGGCAGGGTCAGGCCCTAGTGCCTTCAATGAGCGTAATACTCTTCACTCTTACTTACATTCAGAACCATTAAATGAGCGTAATAATCTTCACCCATTAAACAACAATATTATCAGAGAGACACAAAATTGGGAGAACATAAAAGTGAGACTCTCTGCACATTCCTGATTCATAACATAGTACGAAAAGATTCTTGAATTTTCACAATTTTCAATAGAATTTATGACAATATATTGGTGCTGTTTTAAAAATACAACCCAGCTAGGTCTGTTAAAATAGCTTCCCTTATGACGTATCTTGTCTTCCCTATTTATTTTTATGTTGCTAAATTTTTATAAAAAATTAATATGTTACAACGTTTTTACTAATTATCATCCACCATCCATTTGTCACTAATTTGTTGTTCATGTTCTCAGAAATGAAATACAAAGAAAAAAAAAGAGGATTGGTTAAATTACAATCTGTAAACTCAAATCATTTACAATAAATTGTGAGAAATTACATATTTGATGGGCACATGTAAACCTACAAAAACGAACCAGCCAATTTCCCCCACACCACATGTCATCTACCATACTTGATCCTTGCACAACGGTAACCCAACAATAATTGAAAAAAAAATCTCATCATGCCCCTCCATTTTGGCCGAAAAAAAAATAAATCCCAGAAACTCTGTGAATATTGGAGCCCTAGACAAAATTTCATTTATTCATTTAAATAAAATATTTGTTTGGCTTTTTAAATAACAGATTTTAATTTTTTTTACTTTATTTTCTTATAATTTGTTTTATGTGTTTTTTCATGTATCGTTACCCCCCTTCGATTTCAAACACATTCGTTCCACAGAAAAACCAGTAGTTAATCAATACAGCAGAGAAAAGAAAAACAAACAAAAACAACAGCAGTAACATATGTTGTGCCAACAATTGTTGAAAAAATGCGGCTTTTTTAAATGTTCCCACAAATAAGTAAACAAATGAACGTATAAAAGGTAAAAACCATATATATATTATAAATGAATGTTAAACTTATTAATTAAAATCATGTCAATCTCATTGATTATATGGATGAAGAATGTATTAGGGTTGTTTCCGTTCACAAACATCTATATTGGAAAAGACAGAAATATGATTATACCAATCAAATGATATTGAGTATTTTTTTTAAACAACCCTCAACTAATTAAAACATGGTAACACCATTCCGTTCTATACATTATTTAATAATATTAAACAAAAATTATATTTTATTAAAAAATGTATTGATTCAATGTGTATAAAAAATAAGTCGATCCTGTATCTCTTTTTAAAAGAATCTCATCCGTCTGTAGACCTTCCTCTTCCTTTTATATGAAAATCTACATATATAATGTATTTAATATAGAAATTTTCTTAAGGACAATTTTTTTTTAATTTTATTATTATTACTTTATAGGGTAAGTGTACCAGTAGTCGGCACTTTTAGGATTTTCGCGTTTTTAATCGCTCACCATTCTGAGTGGAACATTTCAATTATTACAATGTTAATTTATTCAGATTCGAAATTTTCTATATTTTTTGCAATAATAAATAAAGTTTTAATAACTTTTTATTAAATTTCATAAATTTGTAGTTTTATTAAAACAATGTTTTTTTGCCAGTAGTCGGCACCATTTGCCAATTGTGGAAATGGCATTTTCCAACAGTCGGCATTCCAATTTTTTTTGTAAGAATAATTAATAATAATAATAAATTAATTCATTAAAATATAATATTTTTGTTTAGTTAAACAGATTCGACGTCTTTATTGTACTTTTCTTAAGAATATGAATTGTTGAGGACCTTCACAGACAAAAATTTAATTTTTATTAGAATATTTCATTTTTTCTTAGCGAAATTGTGCACAAAGATAGCTGACAATATATTTGAAGTAAACAAAATACATTTAGTTATAATAGTTTCATTTATTTGGGCTTAAAAATAAAAAGTGCCGACTACTGGGACATGCCGAACTTAGGCACACTTACCCTAATATCGTACAATAATTATATAATTTTTGAAACAAGAACAAGAAAGCCCGTAATGATAACAATAAAATAAAAAAAGAGAAAAATTCTACAAATTTATATACCAACTCACGTAATTAAAAAAAAGAAATAAAAAAATAACTATATTTAATTTTTATGGTCTGCACAATTGTTATAATATTTAGAAGAAGAAAAAAACTAAACATTGTATTTTTACAAGTAATTAACAAACAAAAAATACTTACGGAAAAATAAATTAAAATAATTCTTTTTATATAGAAAACGATCAACAAAAAAACAATAAAATAACAAAAAAAAAAAAAATAACATTCTTTTTAATTTATCATATATTAACAAATATTAAAGTATAAGAACAACAAGATTTTTTATAAATATAGTTGATATTTGTGAAAAGAAAAAAAAAACGAAACAGATTTTTAATAATAAAAATTAAATAATAAACAATAACTGTACGCATTTTATTAATTAACTTGTTTTTATTGCTTGTTTCCCATCCCCACCATTAAAGTTGTAAGTAAGTATGATGGCTATATTTGCTTGTAAGTAATTATGATAATGACATACGTATGTAGTTCAGCTAGACCATTTTTTCATATTTCAAAAGCTAGTGTTATTGCAAAAAAGAAAAAAATAAATAAAACGTATTTTTACTTTGCTTGGTTTGAAACCTTTTACGTTTATTATATAACAAATAGATTTTGCAATATAATTCCGAACTCAACCTTGAAGTAAGTGTATGAAACTGTAATGAAGGTGAAAATCGATTCAGATATAGCAATAGCTCCCATGTAATTAAATGTTAAATCGGATAAACCATGATTTAAATCCCTCGGATACGTAATATGCTTTATATAACATTGATATTCTGTACTTGATATCAGCCATAGCTAGAAATAACATCACGAAATCTTTTCAAAATCGGTATGCCTAGTCTCTTTAATTAAGATTGAACTTTAGATCATCAGACTTAGACCAAAATGAATGAAATATAGATATATGTTGCACCCGATTTTATATCTAAGTCTTATTTGTAGGAAATCTATTTGGAGTAAGAAATGAGCTTCCATACTTATTTTCAACCGATTTCAAAGTTCAAACGCTCCAAAGCCATAATACGCGTATATTATTACAGTTAACAGCAGATAAAAAAAAAAACAAGTAACGTACGGGGCCGACCATGTGATACCTACAACACTACAATATGTTAGAAGCTTCCTTATGTCCAAATCCATTTTGACCAGGGACATTTGCCCAAAATTTATGCACTCCGTCGTGCTGTTAGTTGTTGTGGTCCATTTTAAAGCTAAACATAAACCAATGGTCACCCAATATGCTACAATTCCTTCCTCTCTTTAACTCTCTTCTCAGACGTGTAAATTGCCTCCAATTGTGAGATCAAGAAATTGTTCCTGTTTTTGGTTGATTTGAACCCCTAAATATTTTGCGATCATCTTTTAAAAGAAAAGAGACCCGGTATCTCTAAATTTAGACTCATTTATATGATTTGCTTTTATACGATATTTGGCAATATTCGTCAATTAAATCAGCATAATGGTTTAAAGTTTAATTTATATAGCCTTTTTTTAAATTTAACCGTTACGTAGATGCCGATAGTAAATATATCGGATATATATAGAGTAATATATACAATGTGTATATACAAAGGAAGGGGATGTTAGACAGAATGCTTATATCTCAAGAATGGCTGGACCGATGTTGACAAATTTTGTCAATTCATAATTCCCTCTTGGCATGAAAGAAGTAAATCTAAAAAATCGCATAAAAAGATGTCAGTAATGATGTTAAAATAGATTTTGTAGTATCTTGTGATATTTTTTTTTTTTTTTCAAATTTTTATACCCTACACCACAAGGTGGTCTTTGTGCATTTGTTTGTAACAGGCAAAAGGAAACGAGATAGACCCATAGTTCCTGTTGATGATCTGCATAGAATCACATTCTGAGTCGATTTATGCATGTCCGTCCGTCCGTCTGTCCATGTATTTTTTGTAAACAAAGTACAGGTCGCATTTATTGCCCGATCCAGATGAAATTTTGCACAGATCATTTGTTTGGCCCAAGGACGAAATTGGAGATAATCGGTCAAAATTTAGATATAGCTCCCATATATATCTTCGTCCGATTTGCTTTTTATTGTGCACCAAACGTGTAATAGCAGGCCGAATTGTATGGAATTTTGCACATACAACCAAATTAGGCCTGAAAATATGTATGCCAAATTTGGTCGAAATCGGTTCAGATATAGCTATAGCTTCCATATATACTGTTCATTCGATTTGTTATATTTGTTACCCACAGCCGTAATATGCACTCCATAACAACGATATTCAGGGAAATATATCAAATACAGCTCAGAAATATATTTGCCAAATTTTATCGAGATCGGTTCCAATTTGGATATAGCTCCCACATATATTTTTATCCGATTTCAAATAAATTGTGCACCAAATTGGCAATACAAGTCCGAATTTAAAAGATACAAATGCTTCGGCATGTTTTGTCCTTTGAACTTTAAATTAAAATTATAATCATGTCGTGTATGATTGGATTCTCCCATTAAAACGTTTAATTGTTACGCGGAGCTCTACTAAATTAGGCCCCGCCCGACTTTAAGACTTTCTTTACTGGTTTTCACCTTGGTTGGGGTTATTATATACAGATTGCAATTATCGTCGGATCCTCACGAAAATTTTGATGAGGGTAGGGTTAGGCTCAAAAGGGCTAGGCCTATTGTTTTTAAACATGTCCGCAATATATTTAGGGGTTGAAATGGATCAACAAATAAAAATGTTCCTGATTTTGCAGCCGTTATAAAGGTAACAAATATAAAATAAAGGACATCCAAATGTACCAAATATAGGGTAAGTGTACCAGTAGTCGGCACTTTTAGGATTTTCGCGTTTTTAATCGCTCACCATTCTGAGTGGAACATTTCAATTATTACAATGTTAATTTATTCAGATTCGAAATTTTCTATATTTTTTGCAATAATAAATAAAGTTTTAATAACTTTTTATTAAATTTCATAAATTTGTAGTTTTATTAAAACAATGTTTTTTTGCCAGTAGTCGGCACCATTTGCCAATTGTGGAAATGGCATTTTCCAACAGTCGGCATTCCAATTTTTTTTGTAAGAATAATTAATAATAATAATAAATTAATTCATTAAAATATAATATTTTTGTTTAGTTAAACAGATTCGACGTCTTTATTGTACTTTTCTTAAGAATATGAATTGTTGAGGACCTTCACAGACAAAAATTTAATTTTTATTAGAATATTTCATTTTTTCTTAGCGAAATTGTGCACAAAGATAGCTGACAATATATTTGAAGTAAACAAAATACATTTAGTTATAATAGTTTCATTTATTTGGGCTTAAAAATAAAAAGTGCCGACTACTGGGACATGCCGAACTTAGGCACACTTACCCTATTACTATTTAGTAATTTTAACAAAATGTAACTTAAATCCTCAGAATAGCGAATTGGGGTATTGGGACAGGTGGATCTATTAATACGATGTTCTGCCGTAGAAAATAGAATCCATTAAAAACTTTAAGACAAAATGTTTATCAAATACAGTTAAAATTGCGGCTTAAATCATCAGAATGAGGAATATCGTGAGGAACCACTATATTGGGATAGGAAATCGTGAAATTATTTATCAAATGTTTGCTACAGAGTCCTTTTCAAAGACCAGATACCGAATTTGGAAATAACGAATAGGAGGGAGACTAAATGTCTTTCTTCAAGGTCAAATTACATGGGATTACAATAGACATATGGACAAAGCTAAATCGTCTTACAATTTACGCTTATAATGAATATTTGAATTGTAGCAACTTTAATTGAACTTTTACAAATATGTCTTTAATAAAATGGAGCCATATTAAATCCATTGCTATTTGAAGCCTTATTTCTTCAAAGATGTAAACATTTTTAAAGGCGAGTTTTACTTTTAAGATGGCTATTGTGCTCTTTACGACATCTTCGTAACTTCCCTTTACATAAATCTGTTGTTATTGAATCTATCTAATTTTGTCTCGAATATATGCATTGGTTGGGGGTATTATAAGTTTGATTGGGCCAAAAATTATGTAACACCTCGAAATATTGATTTCCCACATAGGAAAGTATATATGGATCTCGCCGAGCCGAGTCGATCTAGCTATGTATGTCCGTCCGTCCGTCTGTCCATGTTAATTTGTAATCACTCTACAGGTCGTAATTATGGCCCGATCTTCCCGAAATTTAGAATGGGGTGGGGTTAAGGTCAGAATGGAACCCTATTTCTTTTGGAAATGATCGCATAATATTTTGGGGTCGAAATGGACTAAAAACTGAAAAAATCCTGATTTTGCAGTTGCTCTACAGGTCGCAATTTTAGACCAATCGAAGCGGAAGTTAGCAAGGGGCTAGATCTTAAGGCTGGGCAGAAGCCGTCCAATTTTGATGGTCATCGGTTTATATTTAGTGGGTGAAATAGACCATAACATTTGTATTAAACAAAAGTCAAATTTTCCATTAAACAGCGAATATTTCTAATCCCGGCGGATTCACAAATAGACGAACAGGTCAATCCTGACTGTTACGTAGATGTCGATGGTAAATATATCGGACATATATAGCGATATTTATACAATACATATACACAAAGGAAGGGGATGTTAGCTAGAACGCTTATATCTCAAGAATGGCTGAACCGATTTTGACAAATTTTGTCAATTCAGAATGCCTTCTTGACATAAAAGTATAAAATCTAAAATCGATTCTTTAAATGTGACATACTATTGAAGTGTATATTTCGTAACTTTTTTTTTTTTAATTTTCAACACAGGTTGGGGTTATTATTATATACAGATTGCAATTATCGTTGGCCAGGGCTATTGTTTTCAAAGATGCCCGCAATATATTTAGGGGTTGAAATGGACCAACAACTAAAAATGTTGACACGAAATCTCGCATAAAGTTAGAGTTTAGAACAGCGGGTGGAATGGACCAATACTTTTGTGTGAAAAAATACCAGCATTACTTACAGGCGATATCTGAAGTACACAAAAGGATAACTTCTCGATATTTTATGCTGATTTCGTTGACGAATATAGCCAAATATCGTAGACAAGCAAATCATATAGATGAGTCTAAATTTGGAGATACAGAGCGGCCTCTTGCTTTTGGAGATGATCGCAAATATTTAG